TGTTGCATCGCACAGAGGCCTCCTCCAATAACAGCAACAATAACAACAACAGCAGCAATGGCAACCCCCTTTGACAATGGCAAATGATTAAGTTGCTTATTCGACAAATTGATGTCGAAATTTGTAGGCGTTCGCAGTACAGCGCCTTTGAAAAGTAATGCTACACTGCTCTACAAAAATGCGAACAATTTTGTGAAAAGATACAGACAAAGATATACACGAAACCTATCGTATAGAGCATAGTAATTAACTAAAAATGGTACAATTAGTTAACTTTATTTAATTTTAGAAAAAATATTATATTTTATAAAAATGCCAACTCATTCACAATTGACAATATTTGCAGCTTATCTATTGAAGAAAAACTGGAACATTTATATGTAGGCTCAGAGATTGGCAGACAGGACTACATGAGCAGCTCTTCGCCCTGATTAAAAATACTTTAAGGAGATTGCCACGCCTCCTTCTGCCTGTTACATATACTTAACTAAAAACCATGGTACCCGGTTTCATCCGGGTATATATAATAATATATATACCATCGAATCTGCGACAAGATGCCGTTGTTATAGCTTGAACTAATTTTAAATATATTGAATAGCTAACCAGTAGTTAATTTGGATGCTTTTCAGAAACTATATTAAACATTATGAATTGCATGTTGACAAATAATTGATAGGATATTGGCAAGGCTACAAGATAATATAGTCGTACGCCAAAACGCCATGTCGCACCATAAAACATCCAAAGCGGACTTCTAATCGTAGAGTCGACTGTGACAGTGGCCCAAAGTTTTGTGTCGAAGCCAATAACTCAGGTCATTCCCCAAACGGGTTCGGCTTGCCCTGGTTTTGGGTGGCAGCAGCACTTGCAACAATTAATCACACGTGGGCCTTGGTCCAGTCCGCAGTCCGCAGTCCTTAGCTGGCGACATATGTGGGAAATTTTTGGCTAGCTGGACGGGCAACTGGCAACTGGAAACTCGACTCGCTCGCCAGCTAAGCGAAAACATTTTCGGATGAATAATGACAGCTGGCTGAAAGTCAAAGGCGAGTCAAAGGCGCAAAACGGCAACACGACAAACTGTTGGGCTGGATGAAAAATGAATGCAGGTGCCACGCTCTGGCATGTGGGGAGTATGTGTGGTAGAGGACGGGGAACAGGGAAGACCGCACAATCGATTGGCAGTGCCAAAAAAGAAAAAGAAAAAAATGAAGAAAAGTTTTAATGAATTTTCAGAGGCGTGATAATCTAGACGGAAGCCAGCTCCCATTATCAGCAACGTTGTCTCTACGGCATGTCGCTCACATCAAACGCTGTGCACGGCGGAGCCGCGGCACGACCGAGTAATTCAATAAAACTTTGCGACAAATGAAGCGCCCAACGTCGAGTTACAGCTAACTTCAATCGACATTCCATAGATGGAGCTAACTGAGGCTGAGCTCTGGCCTCGTGGATAGCAATGAGGCGTTGGCTGGCAAATGAAAATGATTTCCTTCCATGTCATTATTATGTATTCTGGCGCGACGAACGCGAATGTTTTCACTTTTGTCTGGTCTGGTCGGATTTCGACTTCGACTCAGCCTTCGACATCGACTCCAATCCACCAATTGCAAGTGGCCTTCTCTCCTTTGCAGTGCCTGCTTCTGCTCCTTCGCTGGCTCATCGAAGCTGCCGCTCAGATAAAAAGGGCAACGTTTGGCAGGGGGAGGGGCAGTGGGGCGATAGCTCTTAGCCAGCATCGAATTTGTTGGCGTTTGTCTGCGTTGTATGCTTTCCGTTTCCGCTTCCTTAGCTTTGCACTTTGTTGCTTCAGCCAACGCAGCCGACTACGCCCCGTCCCTCCCACCGGGCTTTTTTCGAAAAATTTTTCACATAAAAAATAATAAGAAAAGTTGTATGCTAATGCTGCTGCCGGTGCTTTAGCATTTGCCTCTTTCCTTTCGGCTGCTGCTGCTGCGTGTTTTATATATTGCCGAATAGAAAAGAAATTGAAAAACAATTTTTGCATTTGGCATTTCTCAGCAACAAAACTTTCAAGGCGAGCGCCTTAAAAAAGAGAAAACGAAAGAGAGAGAGACAGAGAGAGCATCCAAGTCAAATACTTGGACATTGATTATGTGAGCTCTTAAAGTTCAAAAGTTGCCAATAGCCCAACTGTGATTAGCCACTGCTGAGAGCAGCTCCCTGAAAGCCATAAGGGAAGAGAAGAGAAAAGAAAATCAACAACAACAACAACCCTTGCAACAACAACAATAACAACAACGACAACGACTACGACAACGACAACCGCAATCTTTAAAGCAATTCCAAATGAGTTTCATCAACTTTTTAATTAGTTTTGCAATCAGAAAAACATCAAACTTTGCTGCAGTTTAGAGCAATCAGTGGAGCCTGAGCGGGTACACAGTTAGCCAGCGATATCAGAAAACTTGGCCCTAATAATTTCAAAGGTAAATATTTATATTTGCGCTAATGCCTTCTGGCCATAATCAACAGCTTCGAGAAATGGCCACCAAACAAAAAAAAAACAAAAGAGAAGAAAAACTAAAACTGAAAATGCGTCGCGAGCTCTTTGAAAGTAATCAATTTTTGAGGCCAAGCCGACCCACATTGGCGCAAAAAGTTATTGCAGTCGCAGTTGACCCCCCATTCTCCTCAATTCTCCTGCTCAGCCGAACCGAACCTGGTCGAGCTCATCCGTTGAAAGTTCAAACATCACCTGGCGGAGCCGCAGGGCTGGCAATGGCTCCGTAGGGGACCAGAACTCCAGACTGACGACTACCTGTCGTCATTTTGTTGCTCTTGGCTTTTGAAGTGTTGTGGGCGCGGTCATAATGGGCCATAAGAGAAAGAGAGAGAGAAAGAGTGATAAAAGGAGAGAGAAGGAGGAGAGATAGCGGGGCGGTACTGTCAAAGTTTTTTTTTTGGGCGCACACAGCTACTGAAAAATTGAAATGCTGCCTCACGTGCTATGAAATTTTTTATATTTGTTGATTTTTGGCTTAGAGTGTTGACCAACAACAAAGTTCCCAGTTTGCCAGTTGCCAGTTGCCAGTTGCCTTTTGTTTTTGTTTTGTTTCTGTTTTGTTTTTTCAATTTTGCCCCTTTTTGCTCAACATTCCATATTCCAATTCGTTTTTCCTGTGGCTCAAGTTTCAATGAGCTCCGCCACCATCACACCCCACCACCCCACAACCACCCAACCACCACGTAGTCCTGTTTTAGTTGTGTGCGACTTTTATGGCAATATTGGCTGGCGCGCACGCAAAAAATATAAATTGAAGTTCGACTCGCGTTGTTTTTAATAACTTAATATCTTTTGTCAATTTGCCGGAGCGCTTTAATTTGATTGAAACGAAACTGTTCAAAGTTTGCCTTTCGGCTTTCCCATTACTCCATTCCCTTTTAATCGCAGTAGCAGCAGCATCAAAATGGCAAATGCATCTATCTAATTGGTCTTTTGATTCGAAAGGATATTAACTGGTTAACTGTAGCAACCATAAGTACCGAGCTTTTTAAACAGTTATAAATATAGTATATATACCTGAAATACTCTTTTAAACATGCTATAAATTTGATTATAAATTAAAAGTTAGAAAACTCCAATCGGGATAGTGTCATTAGAAAATACCTTCTACCTTACACCTTTTTAATACGGTTACATATGTAGGCAAAGCATATTGTCAAGAACCTGAAAATAAAGCTTTACGAGTTCTCTTGACC